TAGTGGAAATAATAGACATAGTTCTGTCTTCCTGGAATGCTGTGGGATGCTGTTCTCTGAGTACAACGGCACAGCCATCTTAACCATAGAGGCTGTGGTGACCTGTCAGAAGTCTTCAAGATTAGACCTACAGACATTATATCATAAGAGGGAGGTAGGAAAAAAAAACACCCAGTGGGTGGAGGCCACTGAGCCCTAAGCCTGACAATCTGAGTTCAATCCCCAGGATTCACATGGTGGATAGAGAGAACCAACTCCCGAGAGTTGTCCTCTGAGCTCCATACATGCTGTGACACACACAAACACACACTGAATAAATAAATAATTAACAAATATAAACTTAAAAGGGAGTAGAGAGGGGCATTAGCTACTCCCTACCACCTAGATACCCTTTCCAGCTGTAGGTAATTCTGACTGACCTGCATGGGGTTTCAGGAGATAGTGAAATATATGGAAAGTTGAGAGGTTGACTAAAGGGGTTGACATAAGCCTCCACTTACGCAGCTATGAGGAAGTAACCTCAGGCTGGGCTAGGACTTTTCAGTGATAGAGCTCTTTGGGGTCACCCACACTCTGTAAGTAATCCCACACCTATTTTCCTAGAAGTCAAGTTAATAAACTCACTGGTTTACCAAGCTAGACCTAAGTGAAACAATTACTTTAGCCTGTCCTTTGCATCCTATCTGGGGTAAATAAATATTTATTCATATCTCCCAAGGAAAAGTTATACAACATGGATCTTAATCTTTAAGTGTGATAGATTATCATAATTATATTAAATTTTAAAGACATTGCTATTTGCCTGTCTTTCCATGACATTTATAACTCTTCTAATGACCTTCTTACCTCTAACAATCCGTATGCATATCCCCTTGATACTCACATCTGAGACCTAATAATTGCCAAACATTTTCCAGAATGGCTCTAAGAGTATTTGTTTCTACTTATGATGTGGTGTGAGGACTAAATAGTCTTTACTGCCACTATTCACTCTGCCATTGTATTGTAGTTACCACATCTGAACTGTGGGAGGAGGTTCCGGGTGGAGCAAGGGGGAGGAGCCACACCATGTTGAAGATCCCTTAAGGGACTGATTAGGACATCCTGGTTGTGGAGAACTGGAATGTTGTGGATCCAGATCCTGATTATTTTGAACCATCTTTTGTTTCCTTGACAGTTATTCACTGGCCACCTCTGTGTTGGACTTAACATCCTCTCAGATAAAATCTTTGGAATGTATTCTTAGCAGACAACCAGCTTCTGCCAACCCAAAAGCTAAGACTGTCATCACAAAGCATCTAAAATCCAGAGCAGAACTTCCCTTGCTTTGCTATAGCCACCTACCTGTTGCTCCCTCCATCATATTTGAAATGGGTCATGATTTATGACTTTCTATTGTTACTGTAACTATAGAAAGTTTGTGACACTTCCATGTTGGAATATGTGGTTTAAGCACCCAAATCTGTGTCCCAGGTCACTCATTTTTTACTCAAAATAAATCATTTCTTATTCCTTGTAAGGCAAAGGCTGTATTGCAGAGCTACAAAACAGAAGAATATAGGGTAAGCAGTCCTTAGCTTAGCAAAAGTGAGGGGAAGAAGGTTCTAGACAGGGCAATAGTAAAGGCTCTGAAGCGGGACTACGATGGCCCACAAAAGGAAAGGAAAGGAAACATCTAGTGGTGGCCACCTGTATACATCCGGGCAGTTCCTATTATGTTGGTGTACAGCCAGAGCTTTAGTGTGGGTAAACAATAAATCAATAAAACTATTGTACAGGCTAGTTTTATGTCATCTTGATACAAGCTAGAGTCATCAGAGAGAAGGGAACCTCAACTGAGAAAATGCCTCTGTAAGATCCAGCTTACAGAGCATTGGACCTGTTGTGCTGGATTCTATAAGCAGCCTGAGTAAGCCATGAGGAACAAGCCAGTAAGCAGCACTCCTCCATGGCCTCTACATTATCTCCTGCCTACAGATTCCTGGCTTGTTTGAATTCCTGTCCTGACTTCCTTCAATGATGAACTGTGATGTAGAAGTATAAGCCAAATAAACCCTTTTCTCCCCCAACTTGCTTTTGGTCATGGTGTTTCATCACAGCAATAGTTACCTTAACTAAGATATTTGTGTTTTCATATATTGCTATATTGTAAATAGCAATTTTACCACAGTGCAATCAGACTTCATAGAAGATGTCCATCAAAGAGTGTAGAATTTGCATAGCAAGGGATACCAAGTAGGAGTAAATGCTGGTAAAGGCCAAGAGTAGGGGAAGAGAGAAGATGATAATCATCATCTACTGTTATGATCTAAAGACCCTAAACTCAAATCATGCATTGTGAGGTTTTTCACTGTCAACTTGCCTGGATTGAGAAGCACCATGGAAATATACCTTCCTCACAATGACAGACTGGGTACCCTCATAAATTATGAGCCAAGATAAATCACCTCTTCCTCACATTTCTTTGGTCAAGTATTTCATCACAGCAATGTGAAAAGCAAATTAGCATGTTCATTGAATTAACAAGTTTTGCTTTCCTAAACACAGCTAGGCATGCCCACTGTGTGTGTCCCTCAGCTCGGGGTCTTTCACCTTCCACACTGCCCTGCTGAGTCACAGAGAAAGGAGTTTCTTCCCCAAGGCCTTATAAACTTAGTGAAAGTCTCGGTCCAGCACACCCCCAGTCAAATGATTCCTCCATTCCCCAGTAGGCAGGCAGGCATGCTTGGGCTGACCTACAAAGACAGCTGCTCCTTCTCTTTTAGATAGCTTCCTCTCCATGCTCCACCCCAGTCACAGTGAAGCAAAGCACTTCCCTGATGGGCTGGCACAGGGCCACATTTGGAGAACTTATTGTTCACCTGGGCCAGATGTTTCCTTCAGAGTCTCAAATATACACCCTCAAATGATCTATTGTGGAGGTGCCTCTTGGGGAGATACATTCTGCTTGGTGATGGCAGATTGCCACCTTCCCCTCTTTGCCAAGTATGGATACCTCAGTCCCTGAGGATAGAAGGACTGAAATTCCTTCTGTGTAGTGGAATAATCTTTTTATACACTGTGAAGATGTTGTTAGTATCCAGGCATCTGTACTGGCCTTTCTTTGGTGTTCTGACAGGATACTCCCTCAGCTGCAGCCACTAAGAGCAACACCTGTGCATATTCACTATGTTCCCTTTTAGAAGGGCCCTGCCCACCTCCCATCCTTCTCTTTCTGTTCCTGTCCCCCCCCCTTTTCCCCTCTCCTCTCTTGCTGCTCCTGTCACAGGAGGATGGTCCCCCCTTCCCTTTCCACTTTTCATGATAATTTGCCCTAATAAAAAACCCCTCTGCTTGAAGCCTGGTACATGGTGTCTTTCTCTCACATGCTGCTTTTCTTAAATTATAACAGATGTGTCTCTATGATAGTTTAATAAAAAGCTAAACAGCCAATAGCTAGGCAGGAGTTTTGAGGCACAGAGGATGCCAGGAAGGAGAAGGGTAAAGTCACCAGCTAGTACCAGAGGAAACATGGCACGTAGAAGATGAGGTAACAAGCCATGAGTCATGTGGCAACATGTAAATTAACAGAAACTGGTTAGTTTAAGTTATAGGAACCAGTTAGAAACAAGCCTAAGCCATTGGCTAGGCTTTCATAATTAAAAAGAAGTGCTCATCTGGTTATTTGGAAGCTGTCAGGCAGAATAGAAAAAGACTCACTACAATTCTTAGTTGCTGTAGTGATTGCAGTGACAAGCTGATGTCCTGATTCCTGCTGTCTACCCACTTACTGCAGCCTGGGCCATCCTAATCTCCCACAGAAGATAGGGAGCATCCCTCCATCCCCACAAAGGATTTACTCCAGACCCATGCAATAATTTCCCTTCCCCATCCTGATGTCTTAAATTGCCTCAAGGATTCTAATGTTCCAATATGATTCTTACTTTGGGATTAAAAGTGTGGCTTTACATGTATGTTGCTTATAAAACCATCATTCATTCACTCTTATATTCATTCATCAAACATGTCTTCTTTGTTTACCATCCACCATCCACTCTACCAACCAGGAAAAAATAAGCCATGTACTACCCACCTAGCTGCTAGGCATTAGATGGGAACAGACTCCTAAGCAGATAATTAGAACACAGGTACAATGACAGTAGTACTACCTCCTGAATTTTTGTTCTGATACTTTGCATCAAGCTTCTATTGAAGTAGATTGTGGTTTAAATTGGCTTTTATGGCAGGCATGTTGTATTTTATGTAGGCATTTGTAGAACTATTTATTATCAGAAATCTTGATTTTAAAAAAGTGTTGAGTATTTTCTGTGAAAACAAACAAACCTTGTAACTGGTTTGGCAGCTGAAGCCAGAATGATCAGCTATTTAGCACCTGGCCAATTTATCATGTCATGGAACAGGTGTGGAGAGAGATGTGCTTGTCTGAAGCAATTAGTGGAACAGTCATCTTTAAAAAGAAAAAAGAAAAAAGAATGGAGAACCCACAGAGGGGACCAGCATAGTAGTTTTACTTGGGTAATTAATAATCACAAACAAACGAGTCAAAGACTGACAAAATTATCAAAATAATTTACCTACTAAAAGGTAGGCAGCCCAGCTCAGCTCTGAGGTCAGCCAAGCTGCAACAAATATAACCCAAGAAGCCACCTCCTCAGATGGGTAGATGGATGGGTGGGTGGATTAATTGCTATTTTTTCTTTGGGTTTTTTAAATTATTTTTCAAGATGTTTCTCTGTGTAGCCTTGGCTGTCTTGGAACTCAGTCTTTAGATCACACTGGCCTCAAACTCACAGAGATCCCCCTGCCTCTGCCCCTTAAGTGCTCAGATTAAGGGTGTGCACCAAAACTCATCAAACGGGCACTCAGAAACTAGCTGGGGAAGCTAAAGCAGTGAAATGGAATTCTGGCTGAGCTTTCTCTCCATGGATGAGCTTCCCAGGGCTGAACTTCTAGCGTTTTTCCCACTGCAGACATTATATCCCGGAATAAACAATACTAACCTGGACTGGAAATGGTCCATCTTCTAGTTGTTTTCAAGGACACAAGATTTACTCTCAGACTGCTTTGCTCTTCTCTTCCTTTCCTGTCATAGAGTTAGGAGGTCCCGCCTATCCCCTAACAAGGGGTGTTGGCAAACACTTGATATAAATCCTGCTTGGGTTCACAGAGGGAGGCACAACCTATCATGCATGACTGTCCTCCAATCAAGCAACCACTATCTTTGGGAGTTCAGCTATTCCCCTTGCAAAAGGATTATCCAAGCTGGACCTATTCGTTGTTTACATCCTTCATGGGGGAATGGGGAAGTCAAGAGACTCTCACCTGAGTTTACAGATGCTCCCTTTCACCTGTTATATATAACTCTGCCTTAATTGCTTGCAGCCTCGGGGAGGGGCTAGATTATATAAGCCTGCGAAAGACTGGGGATAGTGAGGGGTTCTATCTATATGTCTTTCATCACAGCTGGGCAAAAGCTTTCCAGGTGTATCCTTTTGAGGGAGGAGCACCCACACCTCTAAGTAACTCCTATGCTCTGTAAGAAAGCCCAATGAACTTGCCCGTTCTACAAAGTGAGTGTTGCATGGAATGGTGCCTTTATTTGTCCTGGAACCTTAGAAGGAGGGGAAGGCATCAGCGATCTCTTCCCTGGGAAGGAATTTTAGCAAGACAGTACGATTTCTGGGTCCAGCCTTTCAGTGAGCTGCAATAGTATGTCAACTCACCAATAATGCACACTACAGGGTAGGCCGCAGCTTCTGAGACTTGAGTTTACTCCTGAATCAACTGGTGGTCTTGTGTAACCTGAATCTCTGAGGCCACCTCCTGGGTTCCTAAAACAGCAATTCTGGAATGAGGGCTCCCCCAGACACCCATTTCTAAAGTTCCCATGTGGATCTGCTGCTGCTGGCCAGGAGCCATTCTTTGAGGACTATGGTTACAGACCCCAGCTTTTACCAGGAACCTCGCTTAGAGAGCTTTTAAAACAATGCCTAGACCTTTTCAGAACAATTAAGTCAGCATTCACAGAGACATACCATGGCAGTAGTATACTTTTAAAGCTCCCAGATGATCCTACTGCAGAGCTGTACCTGAGAACCTCTGATAGTAACTGTGCCAACAGGAAACACACAGGCAACGCCTGATTCATGCGAGAATGCTTATATGGTAGGAAAGAACACTTGAGGATTAAAAGTTCCATGTGGATCCAGATTGACATTGCTGCAGCCATCTTGACTTCAACCTGCCATGATTTCCCCCCCCCCAGAATAACCATGAGCAATTCTTCCTGCAGAGTTCCCCAGCAAACCGTTAGATGTTATATGAACTTCCCAAATAGGCCCTAACTTCAGGAATGTGCCTAACTTACTGATGCTAGTTTAAGATAACCAGGCATACTTCAGTCAGCATCAAGTCACTCCTGTCTGAAGCCACAGATAGGCTCCTCTGTCTCCTCAGATGGGGAGCCAACTGGTCTTGCAGCTGCCCAGAAGCAAACTTCTGTAAGTACCCCAAATAAATTGCACCCTGTGAACCTGGATCTGACTGCCTGCCAGGACTAAATTGTTCTGAAACAGACTCAATCAAAACCCCAGGTGCGGCTTTCAGAAGTTGAACACCAATTTAGGGTAATTGATTCTCAGAAAGTTCCAAGGAAAACATCTTTACCATGGGAACAGGAAAAGAAGTTACCTGAATCTGATGTGCAATTCAAGGAGTTCTCTAGAGTAGTAGAACTTATATAATGAGTGTGCACACACACACACATAATATATTCTCTATATACGTATGTATATATTTTCATAAATCACATACACATGATATATGCACATATATACACACATGGGATATATCATATATATATGTATTTTTATTAGTATGACTTACAGGTACAGTTAATCCATCAATGGCTCTATGAACAGAAAGCCCAAGAATCTAGAAGTTGCTCAGTCCACACGTCTGGAAGTCTGAGCTGGTCTTCAGTATATACTGGAATTCTGAAGAAGTAGCCTCTAATGCCAGTGAAGGAATGTACTTGCCAGCGAGCAGAGGGCAAGCAAAGAGAAAAGAGCTTCCTTCTCCCATGTCCTTATGTAGGCTTCCAGCAGAAGGTGTGGCCAAGATTAAACATGTGTCTTCCCACCTCAAGATCCAAATTAAAAGTAAATCTTCCCACTTCAATTTAAAAAAGCATGTCTCATTGATGTGCCCCCCATTTCTGAATTTTAGTTAATTACAGGTGTTACAGATATAGTCAAATTGACAACCAAGAATAGCCATCACAAAGGGTGTCCCAGGATTTCTATTTCTGAGATAAATCCCATGACCAACAACAACTTGGAAAGGAAAGGGTTTATTTCAGTTTACAACTCTAAAGTCACACACTCCATCACTAAAGTGTGGCGCCTGTGCCACGAGCAAGTCTGAGGTATTGGGAAATTAAAGACAAGATGTCCAACCGTTTGTGCTAAGAGGATACATCTGCTGCCTTTATGACAGAGAATGTGTGTGTATATGTCTTTATTGCAAGTGCTAAGAGATCTCTCTGTGTGTAAAGAGGGAGCAGGTTTATATACAGGCTTAGAGCACAATAGGAAACACCCCAGGTGTAAAAACTCATGTTTTCCTCGTGCTTTCCTCCTGCTAGATATTGATGTCAAACAGGCAAGGCTGGGGCTGAAAGCCAGGACTAGACAGCAGGATGTACCTGTGGCTATCAGCTGACAAGCAATTCACAGAGATCCATGGGGGCTGTAACCCAACACTAAAGGAAATTAGGACAGGAACTTGAGGCAGAACTGTTGAAGAGCCCATGGAAAAACACTACTTACTGGCCTGCTCCCTCTGGCTTGCTAAGCTTGCTTTCTTATTTATTACTGGACCATCTGGCCAGGGGTGGAACTACAATAGGCTGGGCCCTCCGACACCAATCATTATCAAGACAATATCCCACAGCCTTGCCTATAGGCCAATTTCACGGAAACATTTTCTCAATTAAAATTCCTTCTTCCCTAAAATTGACCTGTGCATCCTATGATTTTAAGGGTCAGTTTTGAAACTTGGGAATTGTGGTTTTCAGTTCCTGTACACTCACCCAAAACTGTAGTCTTTGGAGTTATGTGCACTGCATGTTGGATGAGACAGGGAAATTGTCAATAAGTATGTTCTGTGTATCTAGTGGTTGCTTCGAACTGAGAGAAAAGCTTTGAGATGGAATTAAATGGTGAATCTTGACTCCATTTGGGAGAAATAGAGAAAGGTACCATTAATCTCTAGTTAAAACTGAGCATAGTTTCCCAACTTTTACACTTAAATTATAATTTCAAGATGTTTAGATAACTGTGTCTTATGTCTGACATGTTCACCCCTCCCCCAATATTATAGTTTATTCTTTGATGCCTTTCTCACTTGGACATTTAGACTCCTCTATTGAGAATTCTCTATTTAGTTCTGTACCCCACTTTTTAATTGGATTCTTGGTGTTTTGGAGACTTGTTTCTTGAGTTGTTTGTAAATTTTGAAGATCAACCCTCTGTCAGATGTGGGTTAGTGAATATCTTTTCCCATTCTGTGGGCTGCCTTTTGTCTTGTTGACTGTGCTTCTCAGTTTCAGGAGGTCCCATTTATTAATTGTTGATCTCAGTGTCTGTGCTACTGGGGTTATGTTCAGGAAACAGTCTCCTGTACCAATTCGTTCGAGGGTACCTCTCACTTTCTCTTCTAAGAGGTTCAGTGTGGTTGGATTTATGTTGAGGTCTTTGATACATTTGGATTTAAGTTTTGTGCATGAAGATAGACATGAATCTATCTGCAGTCTTTTACATACCAGCATCCAGTTATGCCAGCACCATGTGTTGAAGATGCTTTCTTTTTTCCATTGTATAATGTTAGCTTCTTTGTAAAAATCAGGTGTTCATAGGTGTTTTGGTTAATATCAGGGTTTTCAATTCAGTTCTGTTGGTCTACCTGTCTATTTTTGTGCCAATACCAAGCAGTTTTCAGGAAAATGGGAATCAGTCTACCACAAGATCCAGCAATTCCACTTTTAGGCATATACCCAAAATATGAGTATTCATACAAGGACATCTGTTCCACTCTGTTCGTAGCAGCATTATTTCTAATAGCCAGAACCTGGAAATAACCTAGATGACTCTCAACTTAAGAGTGGATAGAGAAAATGTGGTACATTTACACAATGGAGTACTACTCAGTGGGAAAAAAAATCAATGGAATCTTGAAATTCACAGGCAAATGGATGGCACTGGAAAAAACCATCCTGAGTGAGGTAATCCAGTCACAAAATGACAAACATAATATGTACTCACTCATATATGGATTTTAGACATGGAGCAGGGGAGCGCCAGCCTACAATCCCACCACCAGAGAGTCTGGGAAACACAGAGGACCCTAAGAGAGATATGCATGGTACCCTAGAGAAAGGGAATGGGACAGGATCTCCTGAGTGGACTGGGATCATGCGGGATTGGAGAGGGATCTGGGAGAAAGGGAGGGGGAAAAGAGTAGGGAAGAGGAGGACATGGGGGAGCAGGAAGGTTGAGTCCTCGAAAGAATATAGGAGAGCAGGATGAGAGATGCCATAATAGAGGGAGTCATTATAAGTTTGAGGAGAGATCTGGCACTAGTGAGATTTCCAGAGATCTACAAGGATGACACCAACTGTCAATCTAAGCAATAGTGGAGGCGCTACATTAAATGCCCTTCCCTGATAATGAGATTGATGACTACCTTATATGTCATCCTAGAGTCTTCATCCAGTGGCTGATGGAAGCAGAGGCAGACACCCACAGCTAAACACTGAACTGAACTCCTGGAACCCAATTGCAGAGAGGGAGGAGTGATGAGCAAAGGGGTCAATACCAGGCTGGTGAAACCCACAGAAACAGCTGACCTAAACAAGGGGGAAATCTCATGGACCCCAGACTGATGGCTGAGACCAGCATGGAACTGATTCAGACCCCCTAAATTTGGGTGTCATGAGGAGGCCTCAGCAATCTATGGGGCCTCAGGTAGTAGATCAGTATTTATCCCTGGTGTACAAATGGACTTTGGGAACCCATTCCACATGGAGGGATGCTCTCTCAGCCTGGACACATGGGGGAGGGCCTAGGTCCTGCCCAGGATGATATGACAGACTTTGGAGATCCCCCATGGAGGGCCTCACCTTCCCTGAGGAGAACAGTGGGGATTGGGTGGGGCACTGGGGGG